GGGGCAGGGGCTGGTTGTTGGGGCTAAGGCAGAGTCACTGGGAGCTTTGCTGCCCCAGGTGCTGCTCCCTCCCTGCCCACTCGTGCTGGGGACCCGCAGGCAGCCCCTTCCCATGTGCTCTGGGTGTGGACGGGGGGCATTGCCCTGGGCCCTGCCCCCAGTGCAGCACAGACTCTGCCCCCAGGAGCTTCCAGACAAGAGAGACCAAGGGTGGGATGTGAATCAGCAACACCAGGGCAGGCTGGGTATTTGGCCCAGATAACCCAGCCAGCTCGTGGCAGAGGTGGGAAGAGGTCCCAGACCCATGCCTTAGCTGCTGCATCATGCTAACACAGTTACAAGCCTCCCTGCTAAAGTGCTGTCTGTTCCCAGGTGTGACCCAGGAGAAAGGAGATGCTCCTTGTGTCCATCCCTGAGGCCAGATGAATCTCTTGTCAATGGCAGTGGTGGCGGATCCTGAGCTGAAATGGATGAGTCTATGGCTCCGGGTCCGATGGGCAGCAGTGCTCGTGGTCCTGGTGGGCTCTCTGTTGGTGCTGTTGCTCCCACTGGCTGCAGTAGAAGAACAGTGTCAGGCAGTGCTCAAAGGACTTTCCTTCCTGAAAAATAAATTGGGAACAAGCTATGTAGGGATTACAAGGTACACAGGGCAAACAACTGGACTCAGCGTGACTTCAGGTGGATTAGAGTTGCTGGTGCTGAAACCCAAAGCCTCTCCAGGTGAGAAATGGGCTGTCTGGGAGACTAGGGAAATGTTGTGGGAGCCATGTTGCAGACACAAGTTAGAGAATGACTGTACAATACTCTGCATTTTTACAGCACACTTTTATTCAAGGATCTTCAAGCATTCTGTAAACATTTGGAACCTGCGCCAGACCTCTGCAAGTTAGAGAAGTTGTCCCCATTTTACGTAAGGATTAAACTAAGATCAGACACGTCAATAACAAAGCTGTAAATAAAAGCTAAAAATCCTGATGCAAAGTCCCTAGCTGGATTGATTTGAGCTATGAAAGGAGTGCCTGGTGGTATTCTAATAGCACTGTTTGTCCTTTGAGAGGTTCTTTCCAGATGTTCTTCTGTTCCCAGTAATGTTTCATGACAATCATGTCAGGATCTTGCACACAATGTATTGAACTGATGGAAAGCAGCCTGGATTTTTGGAGCATTTTTCCAAAATTCTGAGATTGATGCATTCAAGAAAGAAGTTAGCACAAATTGTACAACTACATTATTGACTTCTTTAGTCAGAATTTGGTTGTGGTTTTAAAAAATATTCAGAAGAACCACTGCACTTATAGCACTTTAATTTTGGCTACTTCAGAGTGCACTAGGAAGATATTAAATGCTTTATAATAAAAAAAAACAGTGGAAATGTTGCTGCAGACTGATCCCATTATATGCCTTGCATAATTGGCTATATGCATTTTCTAAAGTATCAGCTGTCGGCCATTTCTGAAAACTGGACACTAGGCTAAGTGGACCAGTCATCTTATTGGAATAGCAATACCTGTGCTTGCTTGCTTGCTGTGCTAAGCAGGAAGCCTTCTCCAGAAGCAAGCTGTGTGGGCAAGGCTGGTCCTGATCTACATATACCCTTCTCTTTAAACTAAGGTCGGGGTACTCTGGCAAGGCTTTGCTGGTACCACTGTAGGGCTATGTCTACACTGGCATGATTTTCGGAAATGCTTTTAACGGAAAAGTTTTCTGTTAAAAGCATTTTCGGAAAAGCGCATCTAGCTTGGCAGGACGCTTTTCCGCAAAAGCATTTTTTGGGGAAAAGCGTCCGTGGCCAATCTAGACGCATTTTTCCGCAAAAAAGCCCCGATCGCCATTTTCGCAATCGGGGCTTTTTTGCGGAAAACAAATCTCTGCTGTCTACACTGGCCCTTTTGCGCAAAAGTTTTTCAGAAAAAGACTTTTGCCCGAACGGGAGCAGCATAGTATTTCCGCAAAAGCACTGACAATCTTACATGAGATCACCAGTGCTTTTGCAGAAATTCAAGCGGCCAGTGTAGACAGCTGGCAAGTTTTTCCAGAAAAGCGGCTGCTTTTTTTGGAAAAGGGGCTAAGTTTGTCTAGACACAGAGTGTGAATGGAGTTCATACCAGCAGAAGTATTTCTGACAGTATAGCTTGTAGGGATGTAATGGTGTAGTTGATTAACAGATTATAAAAAGATTATAAGTTAATGTTCTAGACCAGTGTTTCCCAATTTTATGGGGCCACAGAATCCCTAGGGTTGCCTTAAAAAAAAAAAAAAAAAAAAAGCCCCTGCCTTGTTTCATCAAGAAAAAAAAAGCTCCTCCGCCGCATTTTGTCGAACAAAAAAAGATCAGCCACCACAATTACCACCGCGGCTCTGTCTCTTTAGGAGGGGGCAGGGTATGCTGGCTTTTTGCAGAACCTTTGCTTTCCACGAAGCACCAATTGGAAAACACTGCTCTAGACTACACACATTTTTCCCTCCACCCCTTGCCAGTAAACTTTTTAGCAGGCTGGCCAGCAACCCAGCTCAGTCCCGGCTTGCACTTGGTCCTGGACCTACCCTCGCTGTGGCTCTGCATTTAAAGTGTATTAGGAGCCAGGTGAGCAGGCAGCCCATCTCAGTTCCAGCTCATGCCAGGTCTGGGAGCTCAAACCTCTCCATCCCCATGACAGGGGCTGCCTGGGGACAATAGAATAGTTGACTAACCCATAAAAATTAAATGAGGTTAATCGACTATTCAGTTAACTGATATTTAACATCCCTATTTGTTTGTTCCAGCATACTTGACTCCGAGTGAAAGAAATGATTCCTGCTACTGTGCTGTTTGCTAGTATAACAGCATCTACACTAGAGGCTTTGCTGGCACAACTGTGTTGCCCTGACCAACATAGTTGTGCCAGCAAAAGTTTGTAGGGTGGACCTTGCCTGAGCTTCTGGTATTTGCAACCCAGAGTAAAGGCTAGAACAAATTCTTAATATCACTCCAGGCTTGATTAATATCATTTTAATATTAATTAAAGGAATTCTCTTAGGGCTTTCTGTAGTGCCCATTACTGTAGTGTCTAAGTACTGTTGTTGTGCATTTCAGAAGTCAAATTAGAAGCCAAAGCAGCTTTGAACCAAGCCCTTGAAATGAAGCGTCAGGGAAAGCGTGAGAAAGCCCATAAACTCTTCATGCATGCTCTCAAGATGGATCCAGATTACGTTGATGCTCTGAATGAGTTTGGCATATTTTCTGAAGAGGAAAAAGACATCATTCAAGCAGACTACTTGTACTCCAAAGCATTGACTATTTCTCCTTGTAATGAAAAAGCTCTGATCAATCGGGACAGAACTCTGCCTCTGGTTGAAGAGATAGACCAGAGATACTTTAGCATCATTGACAGCAAAGTTAAAAAAGTGATGTCAATCCCCAAAGGCAATTCAGCCCTGCGGCGAGTGATGGAAGAGTCCTATTACCACCACATTTATCACACTGTTGCCATTGAAGGGAACACATTAACACTTTCTGAAATACGGCACATCATTGAGACCAGATATGCTGTTCCTGGGAAGAGTCTAGTGGAGCAGAATGAAGTCATCGGTATGCATGCTGCAATGAAATATGTGAATACCACGCTGGTATCCAGAATAGGCACTGTAACTATCAGTGACATTTTGGAGATACACAGGAGAGTCCTGGGCTATGTAGACCCAGTGGAAGCTGGGAGGTTTAGGACTACCCAGGTGTTTGTCGGACATCATATCCCACCCCATCCTCAAGATGTTGAAAAACAGATGCAGGAGTTCGTACAGTGGATCAACTCGGAAGATGCCATGAGCTTACACCCTGTGGAATTTGCTGCCTTAGCCCATTATAAACTGGTATATATACACCCATTTGTTGATGGCAATGGAAGGACCTCCCGCTTGCTAATGAATCTCATACTAATGCAGGCAGGCTATCCACCCATCACAATCCGTAAGGAACAAAGGGCAGAGTATTATCATGTATTAGAAGCAGCCAATGAAGGAGATGTAAGACCTTTCATACGCTTCATTGCAAAATGTACTGAGACCACTTTAGATATGCTGCTTATTGCCACAACGGAATATTCGGTGGGTTTACCTGAGGCTGATGGCAGCACTACTAGATACAAGCAAACTATTCCAGTCAAAACGTGAATGGTATGGTGACCCAATGACAAAATGAATGAGGGCTACTCAATATTCCTGTTGAGAAACAGCTCCATAAGAAAAGAAAATCATTCTTAACATTTCATTTATTTTATTTAAAGTTTAATAAATTAATATACTTTATTCATTATCTTTATGCCAAGCTAAACTGTGAAGTGTTGGTGTTTAATGTGCACTATGTCCAGCTTGTGTTACTGAAGGGGAAAGGAGAGAGAAATCCAAAGTGAGGCCAATTTAGAAGTATCATCCAAGCCATAGTTATACCTAACTGAATTTCTACAATCCTAGATGGGATGGCTTTCTAAAGCCAACACCTTGTAATTGCCTTGATGCCAAGTCTGTCTTCATTTGTATCTCAAAGGGCAGGCATGAGCATCCTTTCTAAACATCACAAGCTGGGGGGTAGTATTTTGTTTTGCTACCATTGCCTTATTTCACTTTCCAACAAAACCCTTTCTAGTCAGTGTTGTAGCACTTTATTTAGAAGCCTTTTAGAGGGATTATTTTACAATTGTTCAAAAGCTCCAAGTATCCTTTCCTCCTTCATCCCACTGCTATGTGCCATATTGTTCATGTGCAATGAGTAGATTACTTACCAAAACATGTAAAATTAGGGGGTTACTTTTCTTTTTAAAAATTTGTGCAGCCACATTTTAAATGGTTAGTGTTCAGTTCCTTTTCTTTGGTTATGCAGCAATCAAGAAATTTATTTTAAAGTTAGTGTGAGATTGTCCAGGGGAAACTGAACAGACCCTGTCTAAATTTGTCAACTACATTGCAACTTGATTTCTTACACTGTGCATAAAACCCCTCTACTGCCTTCTGCAATTTAGTTAGGACTAGGGGTGTTAAAATGTGTTTTATTAAAGGACAACAGCCTACCTAATGCTGCAAGCAAAAGTTGCAATGCAATAAAAGCGCCTCTTGCAGGGAACACTCCAGTTATGTTTGAAAATAGGTAGCTTGGGTAAAGCAATGGAAAGTAGGATGCAAGCTCCAACCCCATCATTTCAACAGAGAAAATAACAGGTGTGTATACTAGATACTCTATATCCAGCTAGGGCATTTTGAAATGGTGCAAGAGGCTACTAGTCCTGACTGATGGCTTTAACAACGTCTAAATTTCCTGACTGCTATTGCAGGTGAGCTATCAAAGTCATCTCAACAGTATGGAGCGAGCCTCTTTCTGATGCTCTAATTTTCCAAGTACTCAGAAGCACATCAGACAGTTTTCTGCGCTTAGGCTCCAGTAAATCCTAATACTATAGTCTAGTTGTTTGCATAAATGCTTAAGTTGCAGTAATGAAACAATGTCTTAATATACTGCCATGCTCTCTCCTTTGCTTTGGTCAGGTCTACACTATGCAAGAAAGTCAACCTAAAATACACCACTCCATCTACAAGAATAGTGTAGCTTGATTCGATGTACCTTAAATCCAATTTCTTCAGTCTCATCCCTGTGGGAGGTTGAGGGGAAAGATTCTCCCATCCAGTTTCCCTTAATCCTTGTGATGGGAGCACCATCAGTAGTCAATTTAGCAAGTCCTTACTAGACCTGCTAAACTGAACTCCAGAAGAGTAATCACTGGAGTGTCACTCTTGGGGTAAGTGTAGACCTGGCCTTTCATTAAAAAAAAAAAAAAAGGAGGGGGGGGCCTTTGAAGTTGAGAGAGGACGCACTGTAACAAACTGGAAATATAACAGCCCAATATATCTTAAGTGGATTACCTACAGTAACGTCCTGAGTTTGAGAATTCAATAAGATCTTTCTACTGCTCATTGATATGGATTGGCTATATACGATACTTTTCTGAAGTCACAAGAAGCAGCTTGTAATGTTATGCTGCCCCACCCTCTGACAAATATCACTTAAGGCCTGACACATACCCCATGTAGTAAGTTTCATAATAAAACCAGGAAGGCAATCAAGTATCAAGATATGGTGTTGCCTGTTAGTGTACACTGGTCCATGTTCATGTCATGAATCTTGACTCAATGTACTAGACATTGCTGACTGGGACAAACAACAGGAACTTTTTTAAAAGCATGCTTATTTTTATAGAACAAGATGAGTATATGGATCCTGCACTTTAGCTATTTGTGAAAAATGTTATTTTAGTAACAGATTAATAAAGTATTTTACTATGTAAATCTTTGTTTTGGGATATATCACTTAGGTGTCATTACCTGTTGTTGCATCTTTTTTTCCACAAACGCAGATAGGGATTACTAAACTTAGTTACAGCAAGAATTTCTGGCCAGACTCTGGCTTTTTTTAAATTTAAATTAAATGTAACTAAGTGTAGCTATAATGCGTTGCACTCAAACATTTTTAATTTGCTTCTAGATTCAGAGGTCACATGATGAAAAGTGTATTGTTCCAAGCCTAGGATACATGGATGTTTGCTTCTAGAGCAGTGTGCCTTACCCTTTTTGATACCAGGAACTCTTGCTGTCTTCCTAAACTAGGGAAATCTGGACTGGTATTGGTCCACAAATCAGCTGTTGAGACACACTGTTCTAAAGCACTGAATACAACTCAGGAGATTATACGGAAAACATTATTGTAACACACAAGTTATGATTGACAACTTCTGTTGCAGTTAGTTTTAGGCTACTGAGGTAAATAATTTGATTTAACTTTAAGAAAGCTTAGCACAACTAAAAAAGTACTGAAAATACTGTTTGCTTATAAGAGTGCTACTGTCATGAAACTGACCTCAGCACCTTCTCCCCTATACTCATGTATGTTCTGACATTTGAAACTCCTTCTAGTTTCAGTTGGATAATAGTATTGGTCATTTTCTCTTACAGTAACTTTATACATGACACTGCATGTAACTCAGCTTCTTATTGATCAATGAAGTGGTTTAGAAATTTGTTAAATGAACAGTTCTTGTGAGAAAAGCTAGGTGGTATTGTCACATTGCTACCTTACCATCAGACATCATCAATACATTTTAAAGCAAAGGCACTTAATTTTGGAAGCCCTGAGGGCCACAATGAAACTCTCAGCACATGCCAAAGGCTGCAATTTAAGTGTGGTTTCACATGTATGTAAATATATGCAACTAGCATCTTTCACACTGACGGGCATGAATGCAAAGATTAAGGCAAGACTACACAATATGCAGACCCATTTAAGTCAGTTCCATTGATATTAATAAAATGTAATATTTACCCAATTTCCACCCATATAACAGCACTTTTAGGCTATGTCTACACTGCAGGCTTTTGCTAGCAGAGAGTATGCTAATAAAGTGCTCATTAGCATTTGTCGCACTGTCATTTGCATATTCTCTGCCAATGCTTTTTGCGCAAAAACAAGCAGTGTAGACAGGTCCATTTTGCGCAAAAAACCCTTTTGCACAAGATCCTTATGCCTCAAAAAAGGAGGTATAAGGATCTTGCGCAGAACAGACCCATCTACACTGCTTGTTTTTGCGCAAAAACCTCTTGTGCAAAAAGCCTTGGCAGAGAAGAAGTTACTCACCCTGTGAAGTAACGATTGTTCTTGGAGATGTGCCCCATGGGTGCTCCACTCCTGGTGTTGGGCCCTGTCCCGGCGCCGCAAATCGGACAGCTATCAGAGCCATGATCCAACGGACCGCATGTGTGGCTGCCTCTGGCGGCATTCGCACCTTTGATCTAAGCCCCACTTAGTTCCTCTCACCCGCTATCTGAAATGAGAAAATTCCAGAGCAGGGAGGAGGGCAGGTCGTGGAGCACCCACAGGGCACATCTCGAAGAACAATTGTTACTTCACAGGATGAGTAACTACTACTACTACTTCTTCTTCAAGTGGCCCCGTGGGTGCTCCACTCCTGGTGACTTTGGAGCAGTACCCAAATATTTGAGGGCTCCAGAATTAAGGTGTTTGGGTATGAGAGTGTAGTGCCGTAGTCACCGAGAAGTAAACAGCAAATTGATTTACTACAGCATGGTGCTTCATAAAGGTAGTATGGGAGGACCACGTTGCTGCCCAGCAAATGTCCCAAAATGGGACACCTCTTACAAAGGCTGTAGTAGTAGCTATTGCTCTGGTGGAATGAGACCTAGGTGGGCACAAAACAGGTTTGTTACGTAAAGAGTAGCAGGTGGTGATGCATGAAACTATTAGTCTTGCAACACGCTGGGACGTTAGGGGATGCCCCTTGGATCAATCTGCTAATGACACTATGAGACGGTCCAATTTTCTAAACTGTTGCGTTCTTTCAATGTAAAAAGCTAGTGCCCTCCTTACGTCCAGCATGTGTAATACTGCATCTTGTCATGAAGCATGAGGCTTGAGATAGAAGCATGGAAGAACAACCAGTTCACTGATGTGAAATTCCGAACAGATTTTCGGAATAAACGCCGGATGAGACCTCAGCGTTACCAATTCTTTAGTGAACACTGTATAGGGTGGTGAAGACATGAATGCTGCTAAGGGTTCAAAGGGTGGATGAGTCAAAACCAGGTGAATCCAGAACCAGGTCCAGGTCTCACAAAGGTGGTGGCAGCCGCCGTGGTGGGTTGAAGTTTGAGAGTCCTTTCAGGAACCTTTGTGGTGGGGTGAGCTAACAAGGAGACCCCTCCTCCAGATGGTGAAACGCACTAATCGCCACTAAGCCTCCTTGTGAGTGCACTATCACAAGGCCTGTGTCGTGGAGATGTAGAATATAATCAAGTGTCTGGGATACATTAGTCGTTTGGGGATCCAGATCATTATTGTCATACTAAGCTTTAAATCTGGTCCATTTGGCTAGATATGTTGCTCGTGTGGAATCTTTCCTGCTATGTATTCATACTTGTTTGACTCTGTGTGAGCATGAGTGTTCGGCAGTGTTGAACCAACTAACATCCATGTCGTGAGGTGCAAGGTTTCAGATGACACAGGGAGCTGTTGTCTTGAGTCAATGGGTCCAGAAGAAGAGAAAGGGTGTACGGTGCTCTCAACAGACATCTGATGGAGCACTGAATATCAGAGCTGTCGCGCCCACGCCAGGGCTATAAAGATTACTCGAGCCTTCTCTATGCTGATCTTTTCTAGGATCTTGGGTACTAAGATGATCGGGGGAAACGCGTATAGCAATGATGTTCCCCAGTGACAGAGAAAGGTGTCTCCCAGAAAGTGACGTCCTATTCCCACCCTGGAACAATAGTTGGGGCACTTGGCGTTGAGTGCAGTCGTGAACAGGTCTATCGTAGGAAATCCCCAGCGGGTAAATATACGATGCAGAATGTCTGTGCGAATTTCCCATTCGTGATCGTTGTCGACACCGGTAAATAAGAGGCTGTCAATAGGGTGTTGTTGCAGATACACCAATTCCACAAATGCATTGTTTCCATACAGAGAGATCGGGATCGGGCATCTCCCTGTCTGTTAATGTAGTACATGGTGTCAATGTTGTCCGTGAGGATTCTGGTTGTCGTGTTTCTTATATGGGACTGAAAGTGTTGGCATGTGTGTCGCACTACTCTTAGCTCGAGTACATTGATATGTAACAGCATCTCCTGCGTGGACCAGCGACCTTGGACTGTCAGGTTGCCCATATGCGCTTCCCAGTTGGTAAGAGACGCATCCATCATTAGTTGTTTTGACAGTTGCGAGTGATGGAAGGGAATGCCCGCCATAAGGGTGCGTGGCTTGGTCCACCACTGCAGAGATTGCCACACGTGTGGAGGTACCACTACCATTTTGTGGACGCTGTGTTTTACCAACATATAAACTGTGGCCAACCAATGTTGGAGGCAATGAAAATGCAACCTTGCGTTTTGAACTACAGTGGTTGAAGCAGCCATGTGTCCCATGAGTTGTAAACAAACACGAATATGAATGGTTGGAGCATGCGTCAGCGTGTGTACAAGATCTTGGATCGCCCCGAAATGTTCGGTTGGTAAGTAGGCGTGTGCTGTCTTTGAATCGAGTCTTGCCCCTATAAATATCAGGTCCTGTATCGGCTCTGGTGAAGACTTTTGCACATTTATGAGGAGACCCAGAGACTCAAAGATCTGGGAAGCTGTTGTTACCATTTGTCATGCCTCTGTGTATGTTTGGCCTCTGATGAGGCAATCGTCCAAATAGGGAAAAATTGACTCCGAATCTGCGCAGGTGGGCAGCCATCACCGCTAAGGTTTTGGTGAAGACCCTGGGTGCACATGCCAAGCTGAAAGGCAGTACCTTGTACTGAAAATGAACTTCCCCTAATTGGAAACGAAGAAAACGCCTGTGTGCCACATGGATTGTGATGTGGAAGTAGGCATCCTACAGGTCGAGGACTGCAAACCAATCTCCCTTGTTCAACAATGGAATGATAGTATTTAAAGTCACCATCTTGAAGCAATGTTTCCAGAGGTAGCGATTTAACTTGCGTAGGTCCAAAATGGGTCTCCAGCCTCCTGTCTTTTTTCGGATGAGGAAGCATCGGGAATAAAATCCTTTTCCCCAAAACTGCCTTGGCATCCAATGGTGAGTAGGCGCTGAACTACTTGTGTCAACAGATGCTTGTGAGAGGGGTCCCTGAAAAGGGATGGGGTGGATGGAGTAGTTGGAGGAATGGCAAGAAAGGGGATGGAGAGACCAGATAGTACTACTTCTAGTACCCATCTGTCCAAGGTGATCTTGGACCAAGGTAGGTAGTATGGCTTCAGTCGATGGTGAAAGGACTGGACAGATGTTTGCATCCTCGACGGGGAAGTCAAATTTGTTGCTTT